GGGAGTGGTGGTAAGTGGTGGGAGCTGGAGGTAAGAAATTCAGGGGGCTGGCAGATCTGTGGGAGGAGGAATTGCCTAGTCAGGAGAGGGGGTCAAAGTACCAAAAATAGCTTAGTCAGAGTCATGGTGGGGAGATGGTCTGGGAAGCTGATGCTTTTCCCGCGGGCATGCATGAGGGCCATGCCCCCAGCAGTGGCAGGCAGGACTGCACCCAGCCATCAGCTACCCTGATGCCCAGGCTGGGCCATGGCTCCACCCTGTTCATTCTGAGGTGACGGCTGCAGCCAGCACAGCCGCTCTCTGAAGCTAACATGCAGCCTCCCCAGCTCAGCAGGGCCCATCCAGACCCATGGACATAGTTGAGGACCAGGCATAAACTCACTTTGCAAAGAGCTGCCGGCAGCACATGTAGATGTTGTAGCTGGTGCTATTGAAGTCCACAGTGCTCAGGAAGGTGACGCAGTTCTCCACTTCCCCTCTGGGCACGTACAGGATGCCTGGGGGGAAATGAAACACAGCCATGGAGATTCTTTGACACTAGCCCCGGTGCACACCCCTGCCCCTGTCCCTGCCAGCAAAACCCCTCTGGTTGGCCCTGGTCACTCCCTGCTGCTGGTGAGGCAGGGGACCCATGGGAGCACAAACCTGCCTGTGGGTGGGCAGGGGATGCCCAGCTCTGCTTGGCCAGTGGGTACTCAGGGAGCACAGCCCCACAGAGGGGTTGGGGAGAGGGGCAGGACAGCTTCTCTCCTCTCCTACCTGCCTCCTTCCCATTTTCATTCCCAGTGGAGTTTCCGTCTGCCCCAGGTCTTTCCCCTCAGCTTCCCACCCCCATCTCTGGCAGGGCCCTCCCCAGCAGGCCCCAGGGCCAGCGAGCGTGAGGTTGGGACCATACCTGCCACACAGGCATTAAGCATGGAGACACAGGCCCCGGTGAACAGAGCTCGCAGCACGATGCTGGCGAAGTCACTCTTCCTCTGAGGAACCATGGATGCTGCAAGGAACAGAGCATGGCAAGAGTCTGCAGTGGTGAGGCCTGGAGAAGCCACCCACCGAGGGAAAGACCAGAGCCCTGGCTCCTGCTGTCTGGCCAAGGGGGAGCTGCCTACAGCTTCCCACCTCTGCCCAGCACTACAGTGTCCCTGCAGCCAGCTGACAGGGAAGTACTGTCGCCCATCACTGCAGAGCAGTATCTCACATCAGGGGACACTATTCCAGTGCAGGAAAAACCTGCAAAAGTCAGCTGGACAGCGCTGCTGGGGCTGTAGTAGCAGCACCTGGCCCTGCCTCAGCCAGGATCCAGCACGATGCCTTCTCTCACACTGCCCCCAGTATAGCCCCTTGGAGGGTGGGGTGTTCGGGATACCCGGGCTCCTCCACTGCCCTGCCCCAGCACCTGCTGCAGCCCCTTACTCACTAAGGCCTCCCAGCATGATCCCGATGGAGCTGAGGTTGGCAAATCCACAGAGGGCAAAGGTCGTAATGATCTCAGCTCGCACCTAACGGACACGAGAGCAGGTGAAGGGTGCAATGAGGACCAGTCCCAGAGACAGCCACCCCAGTCATGGTGACACCCTCACCCCCATGCTGACCCTCTGGCCTCTTGTGAGCCAAGAGCCCAGGCTATGGAGGTAGGGCACTGAGCAGCAGCAGGGAGGACAGACCCAGCCCTGAGATGGCCCCTTCCTGCAGCCCCACCCCTGAGAACCTGGAGATATCTGTGATGGATGCTGCTGGCAAGAGAAGCTGAGCAGAGGGTACATGGACTGTGGCAAGGTGCCGCCCTCCTCCCTGCTCCACAGCCATTCATGCCTCAGGAGTGGCACCTCCTGTGCTATACCCATGTGCCCCCTTGGCTTGCTGCACCAAGGGGTAGGGGTAGGAAGTGAGAGAAACTGGAGCCCCCCTTCCCTGTTCATAAGTTGCCAAAGCCCTCGGGGTCCCTGCATCCCTCATAGGATGGGTACTATGCCTCTGCCACCAGCCTGCAGTTGGGGCACTCAGGACCAGGCATCATCATACTGGATTGCACTCCCCTCCCCCAATCCCTGACTGCAGCAGGGTCCCAGGCAGGGAGGTCTGCAATGCCTGGAGCCCTGAGCAGTACTGCGAGTCCCCAGCCCTGCTGCTCCCAGCCAGTTCCTTTCCTCTGCCCAGACAGAGCCCCAGCTCCGCTCACCCCTCCCAGCTCCCTGCCCCGTGCCTGCTGCTGCCAGCTAGCCCCTCTGCCAGCCCTGTGTGCTGACACCTGCCTCTCACCGAAATCCACTGCTTCTGGCCGTCTTTCCACTCCTCCAGCCCCTTCAGGCGATTCTTCTTGTACATGGACAGCCGCTCATAGGCCACAAACTCATTCAGGAAGATTTTGATCCCCAGGAGCTCAGCCACCACTGGTGAGTCTGCCCAGTCGGCCCCCATCAGAAAGGCCACAGGCATGAGGACATAGGAGCAGATCAGCTGAGAGCAGAGACCGCCCCCACACATATCAGCATCACTGTGGGCGTGTGCTAACATGCACACCCTCCCACACAGCCCCAGGCAGCCACCTCCTCCAGTCCTGTGGAAGGTGAGTAGGCAGAAACAGTGGGCAGCTTGTGGGCAGGCATCCCAACAGCAAGAGGGAGCCTATGGAGGACTTAAGGTGGGAGGGGAGGAGAAAGGATGGAGGGAGGGAGGCAGGGAAGGAGAAGGTATTTTGTGAGGGGGCTGGTAATGCTCTACCTGGAAGGAGAGCCCCTTGATGTCCACCATG